GGATACGGGAAAAAAAACGCGGGAATACAAGCGAAAACTGCTTGACAAGCCAAATTCAGATGCTATATATCGACTTCAACGGCTTGTTTCTTGTTGCCTTTTGCGATTTATAACATTTTGTGTGTATTTTAAGACTTTGTGCCCACAACGAAAGCGGTAAACGAGTATATTATAAAAGCGACCGGTTTTTCTCCCGGTTTTGTGTGGGAAAAATGACAACATAGCGACAGTGTTTATCCAGAAGCGAAAAACAGTATTTTACTGAGATTTTAACGTCAATATAAAGGTTATTCCGTGAAAAATCAAGACAACTATAGAATGAAAGTATAATTTTTCGAATTTGACATTAATATGAAAGAAAACAAGAGGTCAAAAATCACAAGAGAACGTCAAATGTCATTGATTCGTACGGGAAAATATGAACTATGGCTGTGGCTCGATAACATTCTGCAAGCAGCTTACGAGTTTAAAAAATGAAGGCTACATTACCTGAGTGAGTTGTAATCTTATTTCTTCAACAATAGTTTCATATTTCTTACGATTTTGGTGTTGCATAGACGTTTTGTAGCCTTGTTGGTTGTTTGTTTTGGCCATACAAACTTGGCAATAATACAAAGTCAAAGGTTTCCTTTTTCGATTGACTCCAGCATCTTTTGCTTTAAATATCATGTTATATTTTCTCAGAAGTATTTTTTTCAACTTTCAAACTCAGTTTTATAGATATTATTTTCGAAAAAAGCCGTAATATTCACGAAAAAAAGCTGCCATAGCCGACAGCAAAAAAAACATTTTGTCAATTTTCCCGCGTTTTTCCCCGTCTCCTAGGATACGAGGCCTCGATCACGATTTATGAATAAGGTCTATAGGTAGCCCAAAAACTATTCAAGCTGTTTAGTTTCTGACGACAAAGTAGAAAATATTCTTTCCCCTTGCAGCGAAGTTGAAATTTGGTGATGTAACCTCTACGATGGAAGCCTCGCAGTGCCTCGGAAGGTTGTCTCCAATTGGATGGGGTTTTCTAAAGAACGAAGCAATTCATTGTTATAAACACAAAAGCAATTGTCAAATCGAGCCAATAAAAATCACTCTTCCGAGCTACTGCGAGGCTACCCTCTACGATTCGTATAAGTATAGGTTATTTTGAGGCAACGAGGGGATATGTGATAATAAACACATATCCCCGAGGTGCCTCAAAATAACGTACTTATTTTTCACATTGCGAGGTCGCGTTAATGAGTCAGAATAGAAATAATTCTTAATGCCATATTGCCTTCGTTATGTCGTTTTTTTCTCATTTTTTGTGCTGCAAAGACATTGCAGGTGAATATTAGAGGGGATTATTACTTGCAGGTGAATATTAGAGGGATTATTAAACGGAAATTGATTAGAGGAGAATATTGAATATATTCCCCGATAAGAACAAAGGAAACCGAGCAGGGTGAAAAATAAGCCCTAGTAACGTGATATTAATCGTTTCTGGCAAAAGACAACTATATAATGTATTTTAGATGTAACAACAAGCAAAATTCATGCGTTTCATGCGTTTATTTTAGGATGTGACAAGTTCAAATAGGCATTATGATTAGCTATATTGCTTGCTTTTCATGCAAACAAATATATATTGCACGAAAAACAAGTATTAATGCGTATATCCATCTTTCAGTATGCCGGAGTGGAAGAAAATTTAAAAAGATTGAGTTATCACGCACAATTAAATCCAGTGTATTTCAGATAATAGTAGCCTATAAGGACAAGTCAAAATACAGTTGTGAAAGGTTCTGGCTAAGAATACTTTGCTATAAAGAAATAATTTTGTTTATATATACGGTATATATGTTTGACTTTCACCGGCATCAGACAGTATTTGAAGTGCTATAGCCTTTAATCCAGCTAAATGATGTTTTACCTACAGTATATAGCTGATGGTATACGCTGCTTGTCGTCTAGGCTATATGGAACGGCACAACATATTTGATCGATATTGAGGAACGACAAAAGCCTTCGAATTCTATGAACTAAAACAAATTACTAATCTGATGTAGCTATATATCTGTTCGAGTTTAAATTAAACAGTACTTGAATCAGTAAAAGCGCAACCCGAAGTCGATTTTGCAAGCCGTTGTAACCTATTGATAACTGAATGCATGCCTAATTACTCAGTACTCGAGCTTTCGTTCAATTTCTTGGTGTAATTTCGCGGATGAACTTTATTTTTTACGCGTGTCAGACTCATGTAGCAACCTTTTTCCAGATTCGAATTACCGTGCATGGTCTGTGCCATAAACGTATATATCGATCAACTTTATTTTAATATCATACATTAAAGCTTGCGCGGCCGGGAAATTATCGTTCAATATCAATTATCACACAAAGATCACTGAATATTTATCACTCAATATTAAACATATAAGTGGACAAAATTCATATCAATTCGCTAAACCCGTTTATTATGATAGTGCTGATAGTTTGGTACAGTAAAACATTATATGATAGTAAAACATTTGCTATCATATTTTTGCCGGTTGAATTGAGTATAACATTACCGCAGCAATTCTGTTTATGATAATGATGAAAACAACTTTATATACATTACTGATAAACTACAGTGCATACATGAGTAGTAATATAGAGGCCGTTCGGGCCCCTTTTTTGGGGCGGCGCGGGGCGGCGCGGGGCGGCGCGGGGCGGCGCGGGGCGGCGCGGGGCGGCGCGGGGCGGCGCGGGGCGGCGTGGGGCGGCGTGGGGCGGCGTGGGGCGGCGCATCATCCTTAGCATACGTCATAATTACATGCAATGACGTCACGCGGGTAGGATCAGGCAAGTAATGACGTCACGCGGGCGAGCTTAAACACGATCGGGCGAAACTTGCTGACTACGCATTTTTAGCGTCCCACACGTGTGTTGAATAGTTTGTGTCCCTCGCATGGCAAAATTGTTATCGAAATTAATATATAGCAGAGTTATATCCGTATCTTTGCTCGGAAGAGATAAATTTCCACAGGTATATTGAAGGATTTTTTGTATGTTCCATAGCGAGGAATCTATTCGTCACAAAAATCAAGACATATTTTAAACTAAACAGTTCCTAATCCCGAGTTGTCAACGTCGTTGTTATGGTCAATATTTGCATGTTGTTCAAGATTATTTAGCAATCCTCCTACATATATATATATATATACTGTTAAGATGATCATAAGAAAACTTATCAAGAGTAGAAGTTAGAATTAGAACAGTTGTAATATTTTTTGACACTATCGTCTGTTATTTGTATCAATAAACATGTTTTATACTTTGCAAATGTTGCGTTGTTATGCGTTGCTAAGTCATTAGGAGGCGTGTAGGCAATTAAGGGGATTAAGGTAATACGAATTTGCATAACTAAGTGTATCCCGATGGATAGATAGGGATTATTTTTTAACGCAGGTGTATACCTTAAAATCAGGCGCGTGGCTTTGCGGGTACATGCATATATTAAAGTGCACCATATTTGTACACGGATCTTTTCGCGCGGGCGGAAAGAGCGGGCTAATTTGCCGGCAAAAAATTACACAATATTTCAGTTTTTAAATTTATTTCTTCAAAACGTTATACAAAATTTAGTACGGTCTACTTCTAAGAGCGTAACGTCTAGGTGTTTTTGTTATTTTTAAAGAGTTC